TACTCTTAAGAGTCCACAGGACCCGTTATGCCTGGGCACATCCTACTCCCTTGCTGCCCTTAGTAACACCACTTCGCTGACGCCTCACTCTCCATGACGCCTCACGAAGCCCAGGAAGACACCTCGGAACGCTCCTATGCAATGCCCCTCGCTTCCCATTAATAGTCCAGTGGAGAGTTTGTACAGCCGGGGTACCCCAAACCGTTTCAGGCCCGGGGATCCTTTCCTCCCGGTTAACCCTCTCCTGCCTGTTCCCCTCCAAGTAACCCTTCCTTGTGACTTCCCCGTTCATCCTTCTCGGCCGAGATCCCTACATTCGCCCCATCCAGGCCCCCATGGGGCCCGGCGTCCAGGCGCCCCCTGCCCACTCCTTACCGAAGTCCAGAAACTGCTTCATGGACAGCGGGGAGGGGGAGAACTTGCTAAAATGCTCGATGTACTTGGGCGCCCCTGCCAGGGACGCATTCTTCAACAGCGCGCGGATCCAGCGCATGGCGGCGGAACCGGGGCTTGAGTTCGGGCTCCGGTACCAGCGCAGGTGGCTCTCGCGCCCGGCTTGGCCCAGCCTCGCCTGGCCTAGCGGTTTCACCGCCTCCTCCCCTCCCGGCCCTGGCCATCCTCCAAGACCTGACCAATCGGCTGGAGGCGGCTCCCCGACGCCGCCAATGGCCGCTCACAAACAACTATGGGACAGCCTATAGCCTCCCGCTCCGGCACGTGGCTTCCCCAGGCCCACCCCCTTAGCTGGGGTTGGCTCGAGGAGGCCAGTTGTTTTCCTGCGACCCGGCGGAGAACCCCGCCCCCCTCGGCTCACTCCGCCCTCTTCCCCACCAGCCCAAGGTTCAACCAAGTTAACCCCTCCCTTCCAGAAGCCTATTATTACTCCTGCTTTTACACTTCTTATTTTCCTCGCTCCCTCCCCGAATCTCTATCACTTGCCTTCCCTTCAATTGTCCTGGTAGCTTTCTTTTTTTTTATATTTAATTTTATTTAGTTACTTTTCAAGTACATTTTTTTAAATCTATTTCTCCCATCCCACCCCACCCCCCCCCCGCCCGGTCTTCCCCCCCCCATTCCCCCCCCCCAGTCCTCATCTCTGTGTCTTTCATACTTGTTCCTCAAAATCCCTCCCCCTTTTTCCCCTTAAGTTCCCTTCCCTCTCCCCTCTGGTCGCTGCCTACTTGTTCTCTATTTCAGTGTCTTTGTTTTTATTCTGTTTGCTTGTTTGTTTTATTCTTTAGCTTCCTGTCAAAGGTGAGATCATATGGTATTTGTCCTTCAATGCCTGGCCTATTTCACTCAGCATAATGCTTTCCAGTTCCATCCATGTTGTTGCAAAAGGTAGTAGCTCCTTCTTTCTCTCTGCTGCATAGAATTCCATGGTGTATATGTACCACCATTTTTTGATCCATTCATTTACTGATGGGCACCTAGGTTGCTTCCAACTCTTGGGTATTATAAATTGTGCTGCTATGAACATTGTGGTGCATAGGTTCTTTGAAATTGACGTTTTAGGATTCTTGGGGTATAATCCTAGCAGTGGAATTGCTGGGTCAAAAGGAAGGTCAATTTTTATTTTTCTGAGAAAATTCCATACTGTTTTCCATAATGGTTGTACCAGTCTGCAATCCCACCATGTCCTGGTAGCTTTCAAAGAATCTCTGTGCTCCTCGAGGGTCCTGTGTCACCTGTCCTGGTCCCCTACCTGCTCTGCTTTAGTGGGTTCCCAGTACGGTGACAGTGACTACGAATGTTTCTAACTTCAGGATCAGGATGCAAGCCCATGTACTCTCTCATATAGACTCAGCCCACTCATTCCACAAGATCCACTCACAAAGGAAGGCGGAGTGAGCCTCTACCATCAGTGCTATGAGTGCAGTTTTCAAAACACCTTTTATTATTCCCTAGCTCATTTGACCTGAGAAAGCAACCTTCTCCTCACTGGGCTCCCTTGGAGAAGGGTCCTAAGAGCTGATTTGTGCTGAAGGCCTGGGAGTCCCCCTTTCCCCAGCAGCACCTGCTCTCCGGTGGGAATGCCCAGTGCGCCCTCTTGTGGTCAGACGTGGTATGTCTCGTCCTGTGACTCGCCCTTTTGCTGTTTTTGCTGTTTCACTGTTGAGTCCTCCACGGGGCGGGCACTTGCCAAGATTCTAATGCGTGCCAGGCTTTGTGCTGGGAGCAGGAAACACATACAGGATTAAGACACGATCTCTTCCTTCGATCCTGTCATTTGGAAATAGCTGCATAAGTAAATAATTAGACGAATCGTTATAACAGTGTGATTATAGACAACACTGAGCTATGTTCAAGGCTTCACATGGAAGAGACTAACTGAATGAATAATAACCTATGTGCCAGGCACTAGTGCATTTCTCATTTAATTCTCCAGACAGCTTTACTGCGGTATTAGTATCTCCATTTTATGGATGAGGGGAGTGAGGCCCAGGAAACAGCAAATCCAAACTTGTTAACTTCCCTTTTGCTGACAGCCTTTCAATGACTCCCCTCCCCCTCCTCTCCTGCCCACCACCCCCACTCTCTCTCTGACCGTCCACTTTTTGCTGGAGCCTTTCAAGTTCTCACATGATCTGCTTTGGCTTCACTCTCCAGCTTCATTTCTCCACATTCCCTTGCTCAACTCCAGGCCATGCTTCTCTACTGCCTTGAGTCAGCCTTCCGCCTCCAAGCTATTGCAAAATGCTGTCTCTCCTTTCTGGATCATTTTTTTTCCTCACCTTCAGCTTCCCATTCTTTAGGTCCCTGACCCTACTGGCCTGGGTTATGGGCTCCCTCCAAGGGTTCCTTAGACATCTTGAACTTCACACCCTTTGAACTCTGCCCCACTAGATTTTGAACTCCAGGAGGGTGGGGCTGTGCTGTCTTCTTCACTGTGCTGTCTCCAGCATCAGGCACTGCACCTAGCACAGAGATGGGCAAAGAGGGTGAAAAAAAGAAGTTGGGGTCACCAGGGAGACGCGTCACAGAGGTATGGGAAGGACACGCCTCCAGCTAGCAATTCGGTCATCGATGATGTTGGTGAGTGCAGTCTTGAAGTTGCCCAGAAGAGTAAATGAGATACTGTATATAAAAAGCCCAGCCGTGTGCCTGGCTCATCGTAAACAACCAACAAACGGCGGTTATTACTATCACTGTCAAAACTGAAGTGACGAGGAAAAGGCAGTCATCTCAGAGGTCAGGCGTGGGAGAGGGACAAAGGTTGCCCGTGATCCTCCCCTCAGAGCTGGACTTCCATGATGTGGGCCCAGGGCCTCGATTACAATTCCTTCTGCAGAGATCACTGCAGGGTGGTAACGGAAGTGGTGCGGTGTGCTGGATCGGCCAGCTAGCTAGGTTAGGCGATGCCGAGGTAGCCAGCGCCACCTCCGAAAGCCCAAATTCCTGACTCCGTGTACAACACGGGTTGGGACTCAGACCGACAGACGCTTTGTCTCAGCGCAGGCCTTTTGGCGATATGAGAGCCGAGACCCTCTTCTGGGACAGCTGGGAGGTGCTGCAGCTCCAGGGAGCTCAACCAGCTGGGTGTCACAGAGGGTCCTGTTGTAGGAAGTGGGCATCGTTGCATGTCTGCCATTATGTTTTTTGCATAAAAGCCCAGTGGCACCAAATCCGAAAGTGAATAGTTATTCTCCTGAGAGAGTGTGTGTACGTGCGTGTGTGACAGTGTGTTCTCATCCAAACAGCTGCTCACAGGAGACCGGGGCTGGGCCTCTGAGGCTGGCCAGAGGGATACATATAGATCTCACCTTTTTCTTAAGAGAAGGTGGCTGGGAAGGACTGGACTGGGTTGGCGCAGCTGGAGCTGGACTTTGATGACCTATAGGTAGTGTGGTTGCTGACCGAGGGAGTAATGCAGATTCTGGAAAACAGGTGGAGACCTCCGCTCTGGGTGGGGGCTGAGGTTTTCCTTTCCTAGAGGAACAGGGCGTTCCACTGTCAGCCAACCCGGGGAGGAGCAGATCCCAGCACAGCAAGAGGAGTGGGCCGCTGGGCCCATGACTCTGTGTGAGGTGGGCTCTGCGGAGGGGGCAGAGTGCAGGCAGCAAACCACGTCAAGGCGGCCTGGGAGATACCCGGGCAGACATCAGGAGCAGCTCCTGGGAGACTGGTCTAGGTCTGCGGGCTCTCTCAGAGGAGCTTAATTGAAGACCTGTCTCTAGACATCTCTGGGTAATAAAATCTTGCCAAAGGTCACAGCCTTGGGGAACATTAATAGAAGGACCTGCTGCCACTGTTTAGGATGAAGTCATGGGAACAGCGGCCTTGCCCCATTCCCTAGGCCTGAGGGGACAACCTCGGCACAGAGCAGGAAATGGAGGGCTTGCTCCGATGATGGGGGTGGGGGGGCTCCGTGGGCTCAGAACTGAAGCTTCTTGGCAGGAGTTTCCCGGGGACTAGGGTTCCGGGCACTCCCGCCTGGAGGCTGGGGAACGGAACTGTGACCTTTTGGACCTTCCAGCTAAAGAGTCATTCAGTCACCTTATGATTAACTATCTACTCACCAAGACACCTGCAGGTAGTGGTGGAAAATGAGGCAGAAAAGCTGGTTCTTACCAGAATTCAGCCACCAGGCCAGGACTCTTGGCTCCCCACCCTGCACCTAGTCTTCCTCCACCACCATGCAGAACTCTGATTCGACAGAAAGCAGCTCCCTGCCTCTTCCCGACCCTGCATATCACCCTCTCCCTTCCTCCTTCCCCAGAGCCAGCTCACTGGCCACCAAGAAGCCACTTTTGATTCTATCCAGTCTACTCAGGTCTCTCCCCTCATCCTATGTTCTGCATATTAGTTCCCTATGGCTAGCCCTTAGACTGGGGCATCCCTGAGGGCAGGGGCCAGTATCTCCTCCATAGATCTCCACCCTCCCAACATCTAAGCCCCCTCCATCAGGCTTTGTCCACCTGGGGCTCAGCCGGACGTCATTATCTGTCAGAATGAATGAGGTTGGTGAGGGGTGCAGGGGTAGAGGCAGATGCAGTCAGTGTGTACAAACCGGGAGCTGTTTATTGGTCCATGTGAGAAGCCTATATACAAAGGCACGAGGAGGGGGAGGGAGCTCCCCTGCTACAGTACCGTGGAGGGGGTAGGAGGCCCGCCGGCAGGCAGCGGGCAGGAGAGGGTTTCTGGAACCAGCTTCAGCTTCTAAAATGGGCCTCAGGGCCCTTCCCATTGGGGAGAAGGCAGAGCCAGTTGGTGATGAAAGCCAAGGACAGCCAAGAATCCCACTTCCAGGCTTCTAACCCATGGTCGGTGGGGAAAGAGTGGAGTTTGGCCAACAGGACAGGGACAGGGCTCCCTCCCCGTCCTACATTCAAGTGTCGCTCCCTCTGTGACCTCCTGGGGGTCTCTGCAGGCCCTACAGAGGCCAGGACAATAGTGGTAGGTGAGCAGTGCTAGTTCCTCTGGATCCTTCCAGCATCTCCTTGGCCCAGGACCAGCCCCCTCCTCTGCTGAGGGTTCCACTGTGCTCCCAAAGTGGTCCCAGGGCGGCATGTCCCGGCTGTCTCGCGGTTTGTCCCTCTTTGTTCCTTTAGGCTGCATTCCCCACCAGTGCGCGCTGTGGCTGAGGACAGAGGCTTCACAGCCATCCGTGACACGAAGTCGCCCTGGGGACCTTCTCTGTAGTTCATTCCGCCTTCGAGTCTGAGCAGGTCAGGTCCTGAGAAAACTCGGGCGGACCCCTACCCCTGTCCTCCAGCATGGGTGCTGGGAATTGCAGCTGGAGGCCCGAGGGCTCTTCCATGTCAGTAGTTTCATCCTGAGAGCAGAGTCCATCCAGTGACTGTGGCTCAAGACAGGGCCAGTGTAAATGGGGGAGGTGTCACCACTTTGGAGGCCTTTTCCTCCTGGCTCTGGCAGAGGCCCTTTGGCTTGGTTTTGGCATAGGTGACGGTGGGGACACGCATGTCCACACACCATCTGTGGTGCACAAGTGCAGTCCACAAAGACTGGGACCCACCTTTGTCCACACGTGTCCAGCACACAGGGCTGTGGCGTGCTCGGCATAGCGAGGGCCACGGCCCCAGCCCTCCTGCAGGGGGAGCCCGTGACCAGGGGGCGTGTGCAAGTACTCAGAGGTGTGTATGCCGGAACCTACCGGTGCCAGCCAAAGGCAGTGGCCCCTGTGGGCTGTCGGGGCATAACTTATGATAAACAGGAGACGGGGACACTGGGGGCGCAGGGGTGGGATCTGGGAGGACATCAGTAGTATTGATCCCATGTCTGCCAGCTGGTCACCCAGTGCTTCTTGGGGGGCAGGGTCCCCCCTGGAGGTGGGTAGCGTTCCTCCTCCCGGATCCGCACCGCATGGTACTTGGGCATGATCTGGTAATAGCGGGTCCGCTTGAAGAAGTCACACTGGAGGTGGGGGGAGAAGAGGAAAGACATCAGCATCTGGCTCAAGAGCCAGTGGGAAGATACGCGCAGCTCCTTTCTCCCCCTCCCAGAGGTCCTCAAAGCCAGGACCCCTGATGCAGACCCATGGCTGAGACAGGGAGGATGAGGTTCCGTGCCCAGTCCCCAGAGGAAGGAGGAGTTGAGGAAGGCCGAGAGGAGAGGGGGAGGTAGGGGGCAGCCGCTGCGGTTGCTGATGGGATGGCTAGGATGGGTGGTGATCTATCCTGACCGGGGTGGCGACGGTCAGTTTCACCCTGGTGCGGGGTTCCCAGGAGGAAGGATTCTATGAGTCCCTTCCTTCTCTGGAGGTGGGAATGGGGCTGTAGAAGCGCTCTGGAAATTTGCCTTGTGAACTACAGAGACGGGGTCTAGCCTTGGTCCTGACACTCTTCCAATTCCCAGAAAGCATGGGGAGGGTTTTATGGCTACCTCTTCGGGTCCTAAGTCCTTGAGGAGCTCAGTGGGGAGGCTGGTCAGAGAAGACACCCCAAGCTCTTAGGGTACGGAAGGGAAACAGAGTGGCCTGCTCTTTGGGGTGGTTCTGGGGTCAGAGTGAGATACAGAGAGGTCCCATAAAGGAGGAGGAGCAGACAGGACAGAGTCAGAGGCCCCAGCCAGCTGGGGGGCTCAGAAAAGTGGGCCCAGAGGCCAAGTTACCCAGGTGGGATGGGGGCAGGGGCTGCCCCCCTCAGTAGTCTTCGGTCAGCCTCTCTGTCTCTGACGGCTGGCTCTTCATCTCCGCCTTCTGCCTCTTAGCTTCATACAGAGCACGAGTGCGGGCTCGCTTGAAGAAGCCGCACTATGGAGGGGAGGAGGTGGGGAGGGGCCATCAGGGGGAGCTGCTGTGGGGGTCCTTGCCAGCAACACTCATGGACTGGGGCTTAGGGCTGGGGAGCCTGGAGGCCTGGGTTCCCCTTGCCAGTTTGCAGGTCCCCCATCAACCCGGGTGGAAGCATCCCAGTGGGTGAGGTGAGGATGGGCAGGGGGCGAGACTAAAAGCTGGGGGGAAGGTAGGAGGACATGGGAGAAGGGTGGGGTGGGATGGATGTGAGCAATGGGATGGAGGGCGAGTTGCTAAGGGTCTGCCGGCAGGAGGTCCCAAAGCAGGAGTCCAGGAGGGGGCTGGGGCCTGACCTTCCACAGCAGGAGGATGATGACCCCCAGCAGCAGCAGCCCGGCACCCACAGACACAAGCACCAGCCACAGCTCGATCTCAGCTGGCAGCTCCTCCACCAGCTCAGAGTCAATGTCCACCGAGAACTGGAGGGGGTGAGAAGGGGCTCAGCCCTGTGTCTGCCACTGTAGACCCCATGCTCTTCCTTCCTGTCCCAGACTGGTCCCCAACACTGCCGTTTGACCTGCTGCCAGCAGGCGGTACTCAGGGACTGGGAAAAGCTCCTGTCTGACCACTGACAGCAGTAGATTAAGTCATCCTCTTGATTCTCTGAAGGGGCAGCCTCAGACCTGAGAGGCAGCCTGGAGCCTGGGTTTGTGAGCCACCATCCAGGATTGGGTACCAGCTCCACCCCTGACCAGCTGTGTGACCTTGGACAGGTAATTTCACCTCTCTGAATTTCCACTTCATGGTCTCTGATAAGGGTATCATAATGCCTGCTTCATAATATATAACCGAGTAGCCAAAAGCAGGTGTTCTGGAGCCAGACTATCTGTGTTCAAGTCCCAGCTATGCTATTCACTAGCTGTGTTTTCTTGGTAAACTGCTTAACCTCTCTGCTCATCTGTAAAAGGGGGATCTGGATAATAATACCTACCTAATAGGTTGCTGGGAGGATTAAACACATTTAACATGAGTAAACTTTTCTGAGTAATGCCTGGTACACAGCAAGCAGTCCATAAATATTTACAAGAAAATAAAAAATGCATAGTATGTGGTGCTGCTTTTTTCTTCCTCTACAATGGAGATACATATGGAATATATTTATATGTTACATGCATTGTGATGTACTTTATATAAAAATAGAAAGTTTTGCCTGACTATTCATGATCATTTCTTTAAAATTACTTTGATTGCTATTTTGTAAAATACAGATGCTTGTCCTGCCTGGTGTGGCTCAATGGATTGAGCTCTGGCCTGCGAACAAAGGGTCACTGGTTCAACTCCCAGTCAGGGCACGTGCCTGGGTTGTGGGCCAGGTCCCCGGTAGGTGGGGTGTGAGGGGCCCTTTGGAATCAAAACAGTGACCCTTTGGTTTGCAGGCTGGCAATCAATCCACTGACCCACACCAGCCAGCGCTAAAATACAGATGCATTAAAGAAAGTCAGATTGCTAGCAATTTTATTCCTGAGAAATAACTATCTTCAACATATTAGCGAATCTCTCTATATTTTTAAAAAGATTTTATTTATTTTCTTTTTAGACAGGGGAAGGGAGGGAGTAAGGGAGGGGGAGAAACATCGAACCAATTGGTTCCCTCTCACATGACCCCAAATGGCCTGCAACCCAGGCACATGCCCTGACTGGGAATCGAACCAATGACCCTTTGGTTCACAGGCCCATGATCAATCCACTGAGCCACACCAGCCAGGGCTCTCTCCATATTTTTAATGCATATGTTAAATACATACTTTTTTCTTCCACATAAATGGGATCTATGTATATAGTACGCACTGTTCTGCGACCTGCTTCCCTTTTCACTGAATATCATTGTCTTTTGATGCCAAGTAATAAAGGTCAGCCTAATCTCTTCTGATATCTGTATAGTCATTTAGATATGTACCATAATTTACTGAACCAATCCACTGAAAAACACTGACATCGTTTCCAATTTTATGCGATTATAAACATTTTGAAATATCCTCATATATTTATATTTATGTTCACATACTTGTCCTATTAGCTCCTTAAGATACATTGTCATGTGCTGGTTAAAGGAAATGGGCATCCAAAATTTTAACAGATATTGACAAACTCGTCTCCAAAAAGAATCCATCAATTTACGCTCCAATCAAAAGCATTTCTTTCCACCTCGTCGGCACCAGACAGTGACACCCCCTCTCATATCTGCCAGCCCAACAGGATAAAAACGTCTTGTCGCTGTCATTTCTATTTCTCCACAACCGAGTTAGACGTGTGTTTTGCAACATGTGCAACGCCTGTTTACTTTTATGTTGCCCTTTATGTGTTAAATGTATATCAACACTTTGTCACGGGGGCCGCAGAGGTTGTAAAGAGCAGCGCATCGCTTGTCCTGGGAGTCTCCTCGCTGCCTCTGTGCTGCACAGGCTTCGTGTGCTTGCACCTCATGTTATTGGGCTTTGCGGGTATTTATTACTATTAAGTTTTTTACAAATGGAAGGTATGCGGCAACCCTGCCTCAAGAAGTCTCTCAGCACCATTTTTCCAACAGGCTGAAAGGACAGCCAGCATTTTTAGCAATAAAGTAGTTTTTAGTTAAGGTACGTACATTGTGTTTTTAGACACAGTGCTACTGCACCCTGAATAGATTGGTGCAAACATAACTTTCCTCCGCACTGGGAAGCTGAAATATTCATGTGGCTCCCTTTATTGTGCTTCATTTATCTCAGTTCATTTGCTTTATGGGCGTGGTCTGGGGCCGCACCTGCAGTATCTCCAAGGTGTGTCTGCGTATAGCTCTAAAATTTCATCTAGTCTCGTTTTTCAAATTTTTCCTCTGGGACTTCTGGGTTTAGTAAAAGAACTCCCTCTCCACATAATGAAAGATCATCATTAAATTGTTTTCTGAATTTTCTTCTGATAGATTAGGTTTTATTTGGTATTTTAAATATTCAATCTAATTCAAATGTACTTTTGTTTATGGTGTGAGGTAGGGGTTTGTCTTTACCTTCCAAATGTGTTCCCCTAACACGACTTAATAGTCTAGCTCTCTCTACTGATTAAAAATGCCAGCTGCGGCCCTGGCTGGTGTGGCTCAGTGGATTAAGTGCCGGCCTGTGAACTAAAGGGTCACTGGTCCAATTCCCAGTCGGGGCACATGCCTGGGCTGCGGGCCAGGTCCTGGGTTGGGGGCGCGCATGAAAGGCAACTCCATATCAGTGTTTCTCTCCCTCTATTTCTCCCTCCCTTCCCCTCTCTCTAAAAATAAATAAATAATTTTTTTTAAATGCCATCTGTATAATAAAATTAATTTCTATGCTGTTCCATCTTTCTGGCCCTTCCTCTAGTGCCTCATCTTAGGAAATGTATCATAACATATTAAACCAACCTCCCATTCATCTTCTATATGTATTTCCTATATATCTACATTTACATCCTTTTCACAACAAACTATTAGCAACTTTTTCATATTTATTCTTCCAGACATAACTCAGAATCAAGTGTGGGAAGTTTTTTTCCACGTTGCCTTGGAGACGGGACATCTTCATGAAGAAGTCGTGTGGATCACATAGGCTCAAGCAGAGGTTCTCAACCACAGCTGCCCATTAGAATGGAAGTAAGGGAAGCTTTGAAACAAGGCAATGGTACTGGACCCCAGCTCCATGGACTCAGATTGCACTGCTCAGGGCTGTGGTCCAGACACCAGAATCCTCCAGAGGAGTCCAATGTGCTGCCGAGACTGAGAACCACATACCTGAAGTGTGTGAAAGTGCTCTGAACAGGCGGCCTGCGCTCCCTTGCCCTGGCCAGTTAACACGCTCACTCACCGGCACGGTCCTGTTCTCCATGTTGATGGTGGGGATGCTGGTTCGGAGGAACAGGGTGGCCCAGCTGGCTACCCTGACTCGGTCAAAGTCTCTGTAATCCTGGAGGGAAAAGGGGTGGGTCAAAAGTAGCAGCTGAGCCTCCCTCCTGACCCTCTGCTTCCCATCCCTCGGGGCACCCTCCCACTGCACCGCACCCTTAAGCAGCATCCCGAGAAATCTGACAGCCAGACCTCTCCACACACAAATGTACAACATTCATTCATTTGCACATGGGATCCTGTGTTGGATGCTGAGGACGACAGAGATAATGAAGGTCACAGTCTAGGTCAGGTTTGTGGGCTAAATCTGGCCTACGACCTGCTTTTTTTAATTTATTTAATTAGAGAGAGAAACAGTGATTCGCTGCTCCACTTACATATACATTCATTGGTTGATACTTATATGTGCCCGACGAGGGACTGAACCTGAAACCTTGGCATGTCGGTCCGATGCTCTAACCAACTGAGCTACCAGGCCAGGGTCCATCTCCTTTTGTAAATAAAGCATTTTGGGCACACAGCCTTGCCCAATCATTGACTATGGTCTATAGCAGCTTTGTGCTACAACACAGAACAGAGCAGTTGCAACAGAAACTGTACGGCCCACAAAGCTGAAAAGATTTATAATCTAGGAGGAGAGATCATTTTCAGCTAGGAAAGACCTCGCTGGTGGTAAAGCACCTTAGGGGGACATTTAAAGCTGAATAGGAGCCCACACCTGGCTCTGGTGTGGACCAGTGGATTGAATGCTGGCCTGCAAACCAAAGGGTTGCCAGTTCAATTCCCAGTCAGGGCACATACGTGCATTGTGGGTCAGGTCCCCAGTTGGGGGTGTGCCAGAGGTAACCATACACTGATGTCTCTCTCCTCTCTTTCTCCCTCCCTTCCCCTCTGTCTAAAAATAGACAAATATCTTTTTTTAAAAACCTGAGTAGGAGTTTACATGGAGTGGTAAGAGGGGGGATCTGGCATTCTAGGGGGAGGGAGCGGTATGTCAGAGGCACAGAGGTGGGAAAGTCGGGGACACATGTAGAACAAGGGACACATGGGAGGTCATTTTGGCTGAGACAAACATGTCATGTCCACACACAGGCACACAAACTAACACAGAACAAGTGACAGGTGTGTAACTTCTCACGCATAAAACACAATGCTGCCCCTGACACATACACACACACACACACACACATGCATGAGACCTTGCTGTGACCCCTCTCCACCCGGGTGGTGGCAGTGGAGACCTCCGAACCCAGACACTGACCTCAATGAAGGTGCTGTTCCACACTCGAGCCTGCACGGTCACGTTGGTGATGACGGGGGCATCGGGAATGGGGCACTCCAGCCACACGCAGCGGGCGTGGACACTGCCGCAGCTCTGAGGCAGGCAAGGAACACAGCACATGAGACAGGCTGGGCCTCCAGATTCTTCACACTTCATCCCTTGCCTTAGATTCCTCCCTGGCTTTGTCTCACCCACGTCTGACTGCAGGGAGCCTGGCCCCACCCCTTCAGCTCAGCCACATGCTCCCCCCGCCGCCCCATACTTACGCACGTGAGGCACAGTCTTTGGGCCAAGTACATATGGATGCCAGGGACATGTATAACATAACATATGACCCCTGCTCATGGAATGGGGCCCAATCCACAACATCCTCTTCCCAGCCCCCTCCCCTGCTGGGCCCATGTTCACGCCAGCTCCCTCCACCGAGGACACCGACTGACTGCTACCTCTCCACCCAGCTAGGCCTCAACTTACTTCCCAGGCCTCTTCCTGTCTTGCCTTGTCCTGCTCTTCCCCATCCCCCAGCCCTAATGTCCAAGGCTTTGAACAGCTGTATCACCCCAACAGGTTGGGGCTCCTGTTGGGAACAGAGCCTGTGTCTCTTCCTTTGGTCTGTTGTACTGGCTGCTCTGCAAGGGCAAGGGCACTGAGGTACCCTCTGAGGGCAGGAAATGAGCCTGCTCAGCTCTGACTGGGGGTTCCCCAGGGCAGGAGGCACACCCCCTCATCAGATTGGGGTTTTCTGGTGAGTAGCCCCTAACCCCCTTGCTCTGTGTGCCTCCTGAGTATGTGGGCATAATCCTCTTCAACCTGGCCACTCACCAACTGGGTCTCAGACTTGGCTTTTTTGGCAGCAGCCAGAGTAACAGGTGGGGGGCCCTGGCCTCCCCCTGGGTCCAGCTGTCGCCGCCTGCGCTGTGGAGATGACCGTCTGTCCCCAGGGACCTGAAGAGAGAAGAGGAGCTTTGCTGGGCAGAGGGAAGGAGAGCGGAGGTGGGGAGAGAAAGAAAGGGCAAGGGGAGAGGCAGGCTCCCTAAGGGTGTGCGGGGAGGGATGGAAGACACTGGCCTTTCTGCCCTGTAGCATGCAAATGAGATACAAATGAAAGATCCCCGTGGGGTCCTTACAGAGAGAGTGAGGTTGAGAGGGTTAATAAGGTCTCCTGGTGGTCGGCAGGGCCAGGACCCATTGCCTTGGACGGTGATCTCCGTGGGGTACAGCAGCCACTTGCCATTGGTGACTTCATAGGGCCACTCCAGCCCTAGGACCAGGGTCCCCAGGGATGCCAGCCCATCTCCCATTGGGCCCACCTGTGGGTACAAGGGGTGTCAAGGCTACTGTCTCATAGAAAACCACCCCCATCTCACCAACCCCCAACCTCACAACCCGAGGCCCCAGACCCAGACAGAACGCCCCACCACCCTTCCCAGGAGTCTCCAGCCCAGGCTTCCAGAGGTCCCCTTACCTGGAACTCATACTTGAGAGGGCTTCCCACATCCTCCACAGTTTTCATGCCAGACTCGCCCATCACTGTTCCGCCAAAGTAGCTTTGTAGCCGGTGACTCACCCTACAGTAAGAAAGATGTGGGAGTCACAGGAAGCAGGAGGGGCTCTGGCAGAGGGGGTGGGCACCACCGCTGGTTAACTACCTCTGACATCAGGCAGCCGGGAGATAAATCCCAGCCGCACGAGAGCTGTGTGGCCCCAAGCAAGCTATTTATCTATTTTGAACCTCAGCTTCCTCTCTGTAAAAGGGATTTAGCCCTGGCTGGTATAGTTCAGTAGATTGAGCGCAGGCCTGTGTACCAAAGGGTTGCTGGTTTGATTCCCGATCGAGGCACATACCTGGGTTGCAGGCCAGGTCCCCCGTATGGGGCGCATGGGAAATAACCACACATTGGTGTTTCCCTCTCTTTCTCCTTCCCTTCCCCACTCTCTAAAAATAAATAAATAAAATCTTTAAAAAAAGGATTTAATAATCATTGCTATATCTTAGGCTGTTGTAAAAAGCCAAGGAGAGGATGTGTGTAAAGTCCTTAGCACAATGAGCTGCCAAGAGATGGTAGCTCCACACTGACCCCTCATTTCCCAGAGCAGCCGATTCCTCCACTGCTACCAGCTTACAGGGGGAACGATCATGACAGTGATGGTTGTCATTCGGGGGAGGGATGACCCAGGAGAAGTGGAGGCCTAAGGACACCAGGCCAAGAGAGGTGTGTCAGAGAAGCTTGGGAGGTACCTTGAGGACAGGGAGGCCCTAGCCCAGGAAGAGCAGACTGGAGGGGTGGGGGTGGGGGGTGGTACCCACATGCTGAGTGAGGCCTGGAGCGTGTAGTCCACCAGCAGAGTCAGGGTCATAGGCCACAGGTTGTCCTGGTGACTTGACCTTGGAAGGAAGTAGGTAAGGAGATGTGGCCAATAAGGCTGGAACGGGGTGGGGGATGGGGTGCGCCAGGACACCTTAGCCCCAACACAGACTGGCTTTGCAAAGTCACTTACGTGGAGAGCTGCAGCTGCGCCTGGAGTTCCCTCGTGTGCAGGGTCACCCCAATGACCTCAAAGGCGATGAGCAGCTCCATCTGCCATGAGGGCCAATGAGGTTGGGAGGGGTATTTGGGGCCAGGAAGGGGTGATGCCATGGGGCAGGGCGGGGGGTGCTGAATACTATGCTAGAGAGTTGGTTCTCTGGCCTCCTCTTCCCCCACATTCTGCATGAGGAGTCTCCACCTCCCCACCCGTCTCCACTGTTTTATCTCTCATCTTTGCTTCCCTCTCCCCTTCTCTGTCAATAACATCTCTACTACTTTTGAGCTGCGTGACCTTAAGCAAGTTACTAAAACTTTCTAAGCCTGTTTCCTTTCTGCACAACATCATCTACCACCTCAGAAGGTTGTGAGAATTTTATCATATAGAAGAAGCAAAGTGCTGGGCTTGGGGCCTGGCATGTACTAGGTGCTCAGCAAAACTGGTTCCTCACCTCCACCTCCTCTCGCTTTGTGTATCGCTTCCTAGTGGCTGCATTTTTCTCACTCTTTGGATCTCTCCCCGCCCCTTACTTTACCTCCTCCTCCTCCACCACCCACTCTGACTCTTTGTTTCAAGGAAAGCCAGGAAGCAGGCAGGCAGAAGCAAGAAGTAGTCTGAGTGGGCGTGGCCAGGGCTTACCCTCTGGTTCTGTTTGAAGGGATTCCCTAGCTCACAAAGGATGGTCTCGTTGGCCTGGCAAGCTCCAGCCTGAGGAAGGAAGATAATCAGGTCCGGGTGATCAGAGTAGAGCTTGACGCTCCCCCTCCCTTTGGCTGAGGGTCTGTCTGAGCCCCAGAGGCTTGAGAACAGGACTCCCCTAGCAACAGAGATGCTGTAGGCATCTGAGGGGCCCAGGCCAGAGAAGAGGGGACACAAGACAAACGAGTAAATGATATGCATACAAGGATGCAAATACGTAGTGGAGCTCGGGTTGGGCACTCACAGGGCGCACTGCGGACAGCAACAGGGCGGGAGGAACTGCCAGGGTGAGCAGTGCCTCGTGGGCATCTTCCCCAGCCCGCTCCCTGCTTGGGGTGTTGGTCACGTTGATACTCAGAAGCAGTCTCCTAAGGTCTTTACTGTACTGGAGCCTGGAAAGAGAGGAGCCAAGGACTGAGACCAAAGCCCCGCCCCGGAGGCCCCTGGGATCAGTTAGTTCCCGCCCCTCGAGTCTACTAGGTCAGGAAAGCCCCTTCTCTGGACACCCAAGACCTCACCCCTCTAGTCTCACCTGGGGAAAAAAAAAAAAAAACAAACTTTTTCTAGTCAGTGAAGGTCAGCCTTACACATTCTACCTGGTCAGTTAAAGTCCAACCTCTTAGACTCGCCTCTTTCTGAGGCCCCGCCCCTTGCCAGTGAAGCCCCACCCCTCAGATCTTCCCCCCTCAATTCCCATTAGCCAATGAAGGCCGCCACACCCTTGGCCAATTGGTGAGGCCCAGAGTGCACCTGCTCATCTGCTGCCCCTGCTCCGACACGAAGGCCGCCTGCATCTGCAAGTTGCTGTCGCACTTGTTGTCCTGCCCGCACTCCTTCTGAAACTGGACCTGGGGTGGCCAGAGGTGTGAGGAGCGCACCACCCACAGCACCTTCTCCTCCCACAGCCCTTCCAGCCTGGCCCTGCTGGTCCCGGCCCCACCCACCTCGGTGTGGTTCTCCAGAGCCTGTGCCTGGTTGAGGACTGGGTAGGCGTCCAGGGACCGCGGCCCCAGCCGGGGGCGCTCCGGCAAATGCAGAGGTAAAGAGTAGTTCATGGAGATAATGATGGGATGGAGTTTGTCGCGGATGTTGTCCTGGGGAAGATGGCAAGCTGAGCCAACCTCTGCCCTGCCCTCCCTGCCCAGTTGAAACTTCACACCATCCTGAGCCCCCTGGGAAAAGCTTAGGCCCCCCCTCCACCTTGAAAGCCCCCCCAGTATGGCCGAACCTCCTCTTGCCCTATAACAAATTGACCCCCTTCCTACCACCTTGATCTACAAATGAGGAAATGGGGCTTCTCCTCCCCAGAGATCTTTCTGGAGAGGTTTGAGCCTCCCTTCATCCCAGGGATCCCCAGGTTGAACTCTCCCTTTCCACTCTGATGTCCCAGAGAGCAGCGAGGCTCGCTCGCCACTCATGGGCCCTTTTTCTCCAGAGCTGAGCTGAGTCTCACGACCCTCACTCTTCTAGGTGGTGAGGAGCCCTTTGCCCCATCCGCACTCCAAGGGTCTCTCCTCTACCACAGGCTGGATGCTGTGCACTGTCCCCCCTCAACACCTATAACCTTCCAGGCAACCTCCCCCATCTCTGTCACTGGGGAGACTCCAGTCCCTCGCCCTTGACCTGGGGGTGCGGTGCTGGCTATGTCTTGGAGGGACGGCTCGCTCACCATCAGGAGCAGCTCTAGCTTCTGGCAGCGCATCTCAGGCATGGAGAAGAAGCCGTGGAAAACAGCCGACTGGCTCTGCACAAAGCGAAGCCGGGGTGGGCGGCGGTCCCGGTCGGCCTCCAGAGTGTAAGCCAGGGCTGCAGGTGGAGGACAGGGTGGTCAGCAAGTGAGCAGGTGAGCATGCCCCGCCTCACCCTGCACCCTGGCACTCACTGATGTTTCGTCTGTAGCTGGGGTTCCCGGCACTCTGTTTGTAAGCAAAGCACAGCTCCACCTGCACACTGTTGGGGGTGGGGGGCAGGGGACACACAGTAGGACCTGGTCACAGTGGGACCCACATATCCAGGCCCTCGCTCTCACTCCCTTTCCCGGGCAAGGGGAAACAGGCCCCTTCAGGGGAAAAGGCAGGGGCAAAACTGGGGAGTCCACAGAACTGGTCTGGGGTGTCCCTGGCTTCTTCCCTCCCCATTCCCATTAGAGCCATAGAAAACAGGGATAGAGGTCACCAGTGGGGGAACCAAGGCCCTGAGAGCAGAAGGAGCTGCCTGAAGTGGTGGCCCAGCCCAGTCTCCAGTCCAGCTCCCCTCCCACAGCCCCACCGCTCTGCCGAGTCTCCCTCTGCCTTCTAATCCAATATCCTCATTCACATGGAGACTCTGAGTCACCATCTTAGCAACTAACCTATTTTGAGCATTTAAAGTATACAGGGTGCCATGCTAAGGGCTTTTTGTACATTATCTCATTTAATGGCCAAAATAATCCTTCGAATTGGTTGTTATTAACTTTGTTTTATAGGCATAGTATCTGCCCTGGGCTGGTGCAGCCCAGTGGATTGAGTCCTGGCCTGTGAACCAAAGGGTCACTGGTTGGATTCCCAGTGAAGGCACAGGCCTGGGCTCCAGGCCAGGTCCCCAGTAGGGGGCGCATGAGAGGCAACCACATACTGATGTTTCTCTCCCTCTCTTCCTCCCTTCCTCTCTCTCTAAAAAATAAATAAATAAATAAATAATAATTAAAAAAAAAAGAATCTGAGACTCAGAAAGATTAATCGTTTGCTAAAGTGGCTCTCTTCTTCCCTACATTCTAAATGTCTCCCTCGTTCCTCCTCCCCTGGGATCTCACCCCCAGGGCCCACCTGTACCCCTACAGTGGGCATAGCTGTAATTTGAAGCTGGAGGTCCAGAGCTCCCACTCCTAACCACCATGCCCTCCCCGCATCCGTCCATTACCTCCTGCCAGGAATTTTGCTTTTTAATGAGGTTGGGTAGGCTGGACAATGCTTATCCCAAGAACCAATCCCCTCATGGTGGGATACCAGGAGTTGCCAGGGGAGAGGTTTGGGAGCCAGGGCCCCTCCTGGCTTGTCCATACATAAGGAGGAATGGGTGGGCAGAGGAAGGACAGAGGGTCTCACCAGGAGGTGGCCGTGCAGAGCGCAGGGTCCAGCACAGACGGCCTGGCCTCCAAGGTCCTGTGCAGGATGTTGATGACAGGCCTGGCCCTGCCGAGAAGACACACAGATATCAGCACCTCCTGCCTGCCCCGGGCCAGGCCAGGCAAGGCTAGGGCTCAAGCTTGCATGGACCTGGTGATGAAGGTGGACAGAGATGGGGCTCCACGCAGGCAGGGCTGGAAGAGAGAACGGCCCCTATTCACCGTCGCCTTGGCTCACCGCAGCAGCACGATGCGGTCTGACAGGCTCCCTACTAGCAGGTCTGGGTAGAAGTTCTCGTCCACATCCATCTTTCCGCTCAGGGAGTAGCCAAAGGAGGCTAAGCCAGGTAGTCTCAGGTCCTCCCCGTGGATTACCTGGGGGGCAGGGGGAAGCACTGAAGATGGGCTCTAGGGCAGCTCTGGGGAGGGAGGCCCATGGGGAAGGAGGGGGCGAGTGAGCCAAAAGAGGGGAAGCCCCCAGTCCCTGTCCATTCATACCTGCTGGGGCTGTCGCAGGAGACCCCTGGAGCTGCTGTGGTAGATGTACACTGTGCCCAAGCCCTCAAATGGGGCTCCCACAGCGACGTCTGGGGAGGAGAGGCAGAAGGGGATCACCACAGGGACCGTGGGCCTCCTGTCTCCCCAACCCTGTGCTCCAGCCACGGAGCTCAGCATGCCCTTGACTTCACCCTGCCAGGCAGTACTCACACCAGCAGGGAACAGAGCTCTGTGGCTCAGATTAAAACCGGGACCATTGGGCCCTCAAATGCCTCCTTTTATATGTGGGAAAGTAGGTCCTGGAGAGAGAAGTGACCCAGTCACACAGCAGGGTAGTGTCTCGGGCAGCCACGCTCCAGATTCCTAACCACTGGCTGGTGTTCGTTTCCCCTTATTTTAGTGCCTGCCACCTCCCCGACCAGTCCCCCCCTCCAAACCCCTGATGCTTCTAGTGTCCTATACCAGCGGGGGCACAAAAGCAGGTGTCCCCATCGGTGGTTGTCAAGTACTTTGCCAGGTGGTTGTCAAGTACTCATCTCATTTAATCCTCACAAGAGTGCTGGTTGTGAGTACTGGTGTCCCCACTTTATGAATGAGGAAACGAAGTCACACGCTAGCGAGTACAGGACAGGCGATGGAAGCCCCTGGCTGTCTGTCTGACACGGGGGGCTGCGATTTTAATCAGCACACCATAGGGAACTTTACTTGTTAAAATGTCCAGACTTCTAAAATTCTAACCATTACTTCCACACGTAAATCCCAAATGTTTTAGCCTCTTAAACTTGACTCAACTCTCCGTTTGCTGCTTTTGACCTGAGGAGGCCTAAGTAACCAGAATTTGGCCAAGCTTGTTGGAAGAGTATGTTCAGGAAGAATAAGTAGGTCCTGAGCAGAAACCAATGACACTGTGTCAGAAGGCGCTTCATTAACTGAACTCTGTTCCTGTTTTGACTCTTTAGCGGCTCCATTGCCTCCCTTTGGTTTCCCGCTACATTCAGGGCAACTGAGGACACCAGAGAGGTGACTTCCCAGTAAGCCAGGTGCTCGCATGGCAACCGGGCCCGGCCCCTTGATCTGTCCCTCTCCCTGACACCCGGGCCTGATTGGCCCCGAAGTGCTGCAGAGTTCTGATGGTTTCCTCTGTACCCAGGGCTCCCACCTTGTCCCAGCTCGTACCTTCCCCCACTGGTGCACTACATCCTTGATGTTAACACCCCAGCCTTGCTCCCCCATCCATCCCACTACTCTTTCCGGAATGATCTTTCAGTGTAATGAGGCACCAAGCTACCAAGCTATCATATCATATCCTTGCCCCCAAACCTTCTCTGGACACCCCTCTACCATTACCCAAACAGAAAGCCCCAGTTCCCCTGCCTGGCTTTCAAAAACATCCACCCCACCCCCACACTCCCTCTGTAGCCTCATCTCTGAAGTGAACACCCCACACTCACTAGATTTGGGCGCACCAGGCAAGGACCCCACCCTCATATTGTGCCCCTTCTGCTTGCCTTCATTGTGCACGCTCAGCCCAGCCTTTGATGCCCAGCAGAAGGTTTGCTCCTCACCCGTGGGGGTCCCTCTACGCATCCTCCTTTCTCTAGCACGGCTGTGAGCGCCTCGGGGCCTGGGCCCCCTTCCATCCCCTCTTGGAGCCCTGTTAAGCCTGGTATGCAGGGGGCACTCGGTGGGGGGGGCGCTGGGGAGGGAGTGCTAGCTCATACCCTGGAATCCATCCTGGTTGATGTCACCAATGCTGGCCACGGAGAAGCCAAAGGCGGAGCGACTGGGGCCGTGAAGAAGGAGGTTGGGGTGGGCAGGAAAGGAGGTGCCTGCCTGGTTCATGAAGACGTAGACGGCGCCCCCCACCTCCTTCTTCCGCTCAAAGTAGTAGGGGGCACCCACCAGGAGGTCCTGCCACCTGCACGAGAGAGAAGGAGGGGGAAATGGGAGCATGAGCCGAGCCTGCAACAGGCAGCACAACTCCTGTTTAGCAGGCACAGTGCGCCAGGGCACACGGCTGTACAAACGGCACCTCTGGCCACGGGTCTTGGGAAAGCGAAGGAAATGTCGGCACGACCATCTAATAGAAAACACAGGGGGGAAGCCACATAGGTACAGATCACACCCAAACACCCCACATCCACTCGGGCCATAGAAATGACGGACAAAGACAGAGATGTAAGTGTCATGCAACTGACATGCAAATATCCAGAAACCCGTAGGGTCCGATGGCAAATCAATAAGCACAACTGATTTGCAAACCCCTGCAATAGCACGCAAACAGATGCACAAATGCAAGCCTCCATATTGCTGCCTTGGCAAGCCTGTCCCCATCACCATTCTCCCTGGCCCCAGAGAATGTGCCTGGATTCTCACCCATCATTGTTCAGGTCTGCCAGGGCAATGGCGCTGCCAAAATAGGCGCCCACCTGTGTGCCCTCCAGCACCTGCCTCCTCCGCAGGTCTCCGCCTACGTCCTGGCTCAGCAAGAAGACTGCACCCATATGCTGGTGCCGCGGGGCACCCGTCACAATGGTGATGTCTGTAGGGTGCAGGATGGCGCTTCCCACCTGCACCGTGTAGCCTGGGATGGGGGGAAGGTGGTCGATCAAGGCCTCAGTAAACGTTGCTGCTTTCTACTCTGGACCCACTCCGGAGGGCACCACCCCCTTATCCTCTTCTCCTCTATTCTAAGTTGGGCCAAAAAGTGACTTCTGGATGCCCATCCCCAGTCCTCTCTGCACACTGGACTGTGAGCTCCATGAAGGCAGGGTCTTTGCATCCTGGTGCTCATGAAGTGCTAGCTGAACTAAATACCACCATTCGCACTTGCACCCTGGCCTCACTACTCCACCCGGCACCGACGGTGAGAGGGCCAGCATGCCGGGGACTGAGCACCGCCTCCTCTTCCACGCATCGGGCCGCCACAACGGGACTCACCAATATAGCGGTTTCCTTGGTCCTCAGGGTCCTTGTAACTGTATTCGGATAAATCCCAGTCCTTCCGCTGAATCATGTAGCTGTTTCCTTCGCAAAGATTTGGGGAGAGGGAGTGTAAGCTGCCACCCCTTTCCTCCACCATGTCCAGGCCCCTCTCCAGAAGATATTAATGACCTTTTTAAATATTTGTGAGCCCTCTGTCACGTTCCTCTTTCCTCTAACAATTTTGTGAGGTAGAATCATGGCCCTTAGTTTGCAGATGAGAAAAGTGAAGCTTAGGGATGGGGAGCTAGTTGTAGAGACAGGGCGGGAATCTGGTCATCCAGGCTCCTGGCTGCTAGATGAGACCCTCCCCCCCCCACCCCCGCACTCTAGACACTGAGGCCAGACTTCTCCTGGACCTGCCCCCTGGACCTGCCTTCATGCTCGGGCTGCCTCCTGGGCCCTCTCCCCTGGCAGCTGCTGTAGGGTACCTGCCACTCTGCCAAGGTTCTCAAGGACCAGGAGGGGGAGGCAGGATGCTGCAGCGAGCGGAGGCCTCAGCCTCAAGTGGGCCCAGAGCTGTGATTACACCTTTGTCAAGCGGATGAGGCTCTGGGCTCCCTCTACCTGTTGCTTCTACAACAGGCTGCAGTTAAGGTATCGCTGTTGCTACGACCTGTGTGGCGGAGAGAGGCAGACATGGAGGGGCGTGTGCTGTGGTTGTTACAAAAAGCATGGACCTTGATACAAGGAAACACTTCACAGCTCCCAAAGGACTGCCCTACAAGCATGGACATGGGGAAAAAACGGCCAGGGTGCATTGAAAAGTGAAAAGAGAAAGCAGAACAGCATGTTCAGCATGATTCTCTTTGTGTGTGTGTTTAAAAGTACCCATGTATTCTTAAATAAGTTCTGGATGAGCCACAGGACACAATATACACTGGAAGATGGGACAATGGAGACGGGAGGGAGAGGCAGGGGTGGGAGAATGGGCGCTTTTCCTCTTTATTTTGCCACGTCCCACCGGACGGTTTAGTAGTGGCTCCAGGAGCAAGTTTGACTCGCTACCTCAGTTTTTAGTGGTTAAACTGGAGTCACATGGACTTGTGTTATAATTCGCGTTTCATAACTTGCTCTTGGCTTGAGCAATTTACTTCACTTCTCTGAGGCTCAGTTTTCTGCAAAATGGGTATAATGATACCTGCCTCACAGAGTATTTGAAATTTAATAAGATGATACGTGTGAAGCCTCCAGCATCTATGAAGTGCTTTCAAGTAGCAAAAGTCATGGTGGTCGCTGACATGGGCAAGAGGGTCTCGTCTCTTCTGCCCTCCCCCTGCCCGGTGTGGAGAGTCTCGGCCAGCTGCTCCAGCAGCTACCTGGGGTGGGCAGTCTCTGCTCCTCCTCTTCCCCCACGGTCCTCACCTTTCCAGTTGTAGGCCCCGGGAGCGCCGAAGTACACAGTGTTCTGCGTGAAGCCGCCGCTGGTGCCCAGCTGGCACATGCCGGTCTCCAGGTAGTCGGTGTTGCTGTTGCACATCTCGTTGTGGTAGCTCTGCCAGTCGTCCGTGGCGTCCAGCTCCAGGTCATTGCCCCGCACGTAGCACTTGCCCACCATGCGCCGCTGGTCCTCCGACCCCGACCACAGCACCTGGGTGTAGCGGTGGGCGCAGACCTGGGGGCCCCACCCCAACAGGCAGCCTGAGCCCGCAGCAGGGACCCAGGGCCAGCGGTCTCCTGGGCCCTGGGCACCTCTGGCTTTGCGGGAGAGACGTTGAAAGGCGCCTCCTAGCTTTTCTGTCTTCCCGCTGCGATGCCTGGACCTGCAGCTCCTTTCCAGAACTTAGAAATCTGCCCTGAGAGTTGGAAACACCTTTTGGAAGGACAGAAGTTACTGGACTGGAGAGGGGCTCAGAGATCTTGGCAAAACAAAATGGGAACAGATGAGGCAGCGTGGGTTCACCTCTCTGGTCCAAAAGGAGCTGGATACCGAGTGAGTTAGGGAACTTGCTTCTCTGCTATCTCCCCATAACCTTGCTCTCTCTCTTTTTTCTTTTTAAGATTTTATTTTTCAGAGAGAGGGGAAGAGAGGGAGAGAAATCAGTTGCCTCTGGGGACCTGGTCGGCAACCCAGGCATGTGCCCGCACTAAGAATTGAACCAGCAACCTATCAGTTCGCAGGCCAGCGCTCAACCCACTGAGCCACACACACCAGCTCAGGCTTAACCCTGCCGTCTGAATGAAAGGACCACTAACAACAACAACAGCTAAAACTGAGTGCTTACTACACACCAGGCACAACTCTCAGCTCTTTATATATTAACCTTTTCAAGCCTCCTAACAGCACCGTGGAGTAGAAACAACGGCTTTCTCCCTTTTAGACAGGGAGACTGAGGCACCGAGAATAAGTCTCTGCCTAAGGTCTCATGTCTAAACAGAGGCAGAGAGTGTTCAAGCCAAGGCCATCTGGCTCTGAAATCTAGGCACTTCCGCACTGGGCCGGGCTGCCTGTTGAGCACTTTTCCCTGCACATTGGAGGAGCTTGGTAAAATGTTATTGGGCAAATCAGTCTGAAGAGGGTATTTGGAAAACAGTCAAGGGCCAGGCAGAGATCCAGAACCAGGCTCGGTTCTTGCTGGCTCACTTCTTCTGCCCCTTCCATCTGTGAGCTTCACTCCCACCAGCTGAGCCTCAACCGTTGCCACTAAGTTCCTAGTGCTGGCAGGGTGCACAGCGCACAGTAGATGCTCACTAAAAACTTGTTAAGGGGCCCTGGCTGGTGTGGCTCGGTGGACTGAGTGCCAGCCTGCAAACTGAAAGGTCGCCAGTTTGATTCCCAGTCGGGGCACATGCCTGGGTTGTGGGCCAGGCCCCCAGTAGGGGGCACTGGAGAGGCAACCACACATTGATGGTTCTCTCCCTCTTTCTTTCTCTCCCTTTGTAAAAATCAATCGATCTTAAAAAAACTGTCGAAGCAATGAGCTGACAATGCTGAAGGACCCAGGGCCTAGAACTGCCTCCAGTGGGTCCTGGACACACACCATGCATAACTGTGGCCCGAAAAGGTATCTGAGTGAATTGGTGCAAACCCGGAACTTAAAAGTGTTCCAATGGGACAGAGCACAGCAGCAAGGGTTGCGTTCCGGCTACGGGAGTGAGGATTGATTGAAAGTGGGCATGCTTTGTAGAGTGATGTACATATGCTTTTTTTTTCACGGATCTTGGTTACACAGGTGTATACTTTTCAAAACTCATCGACACCTAAAATCTGTACATTTTGCTCTATGTAAATTTTACGTCAATTTTTAAACATTGTCTGTCTGAGACTCAGAAATGGAGACTCCCCCCCAGGGGCCAGCACTGGAAAATGCGGGCAGGAGGTGACAACTGACAACACACAGTGGCCCTCAAACCCAATCCAAGTGAGCTGGGGTCAGGAGGACTGTGCCTCTTCGGGCCAGCCAGCCTCCCAGGAAGGGATGAAATCAGGCCACACCGCCTGGGGCCCCATCTGCCCTTTACTCTTACAGATCCAGCCCCTCAGCTCAGCTCCTTCCCACGAAGGGTGAGCAACTCAACCGGTAGCAGGGGTGGAGCCGGGAGGAAGAGTGATTCAGACACAACCCCGGCCATACTGGGTCTTGGCAGTGTGCCAGACCGCCCCCCCCCCACCACCACAATAAAGGCAGGACTGAGGGACACGGCCACAGAAATGGACGTTTACAAGCCTCCAGCTCATGCACCACGGAGCCCCTCTGTCCTCTGCTTTCCCTTCAGCCCCAGGGAGACGAAGGAGAGAGGGCTGGAGGGGGTGGGGAGGTGACTTGAGTGCCCACTTACCAGGACTCTGCCTGCAGGGCCCTGGCTGGCCACAGTCACCCCAAGCCACATGTCCTCAATTATGTGATGGTCAGGGTCACCTGTGGGAGGGATCATGAGCCAGGGCACCGCATCCCCCCGGTGCCTAGAGCCTCCAGAGGGCGGGGGCTGCTCCCCCCGGACCCTGCCCCCCAGCACTGCAGCCATCCCTGCTCCTCTCCTCCAGCCCCTCAGAGTCTGAGCTCCACAAACCCCACAGGGTCCCACTCTCCTCTGGGACTCCCTCTTCCCATCTGTTCAAGAAGTGACCAGAAACTGCCAGGAGGGCCTTTTAGCTCTCCAGGTCCTTTTTCTCTCGACTACCCACACCCCCCAGGCTCCCAGTCCGGCAGTGACCCCCAGCCCCTTCCCCTCACTTTTCTCCGTGATGTCCATCCTCTCACAGTCGTCCTTGTGGGCAGTGAGTGGGCACAGGTACACGGCACCAGTCCGGTTGGTGTAGCCATCAGGCACGGCGAGGTCCCGGGGGGCACCAACCAGGAGCCTGGGGGGCAAGGAGGTAGGGCACAGGGCTCAGACTTCACAAAGCCCATTTCAAACAACTTGCTGTTCAACGTGCACTCACTGAGCACCTGCTCTGCCAGGCTCTGGGACTGGGAGGTGAACGGATCCCAGCCTTGGCTCTCCGGCGGCACCCGGGTGGGGGAAGGCCGGCAAGGAAGCAGCCCTCCGCTGTCGGTGCCTCGTGAGGGGAGCGGAGAACCAACCAGCCAGACTCTTCGTGAGGAACAGCCAGGGAGAAGGGACCTGGCCTGAGTCTGATGACCAGGATCCACCGGGGAAGAAGGGGAGGGAGGGCACTTTGGGCACAAGGATGGCGTGTGCAAGGGCCAGGAGGCATGAGTAAGCAGGGTGACGCAGGGATCTGCAGGGCTCTGAGACTGCTGGAATCCAGGAACACGCAGTGGGACAAGAGGGCCGCTGGGAAGGGCCACTGTGCAAGGGCATGACGTGGTCAGATCTGAGTTTTGGAAGGAATGCTTTGGCCTCTGAGATGAAGGTAGACTAAAAGAGAGTAAGCCTGGAAGGATCCTGGCACAGGGTTCAACTTCTAGGCGACCCGAGGGGACAACATATGAGGGGTGGGGCGGGGTGGTGTGTGTTCTTGGGACCCTGGGTCCTTCTACTCTCAGCCATCTGAGGACTTAGATCTAGGAGACATGGACCCCTGAGTGGTCTGGGTGATGTGTACCCCCCACACTGCCCCCTTGAGACAGGCACACAGGTACTGGGTGGGACTGGGTGCTCGACATTTTGGACAATGTGGCCCCAGGGCAGTGTTCTTGGAAGGTGGGCGTGAGAGTGGGGATGGGTGAGGACTATCGCCTTGTTCCCAGCCTGTCCACCTTTAGAGACATTGGCTACAAGTTCCTACAAGGTTGCTTAGGGTCCTGGCAACCCAACCCATACCAGAGAGGTAACCAGAAGACAGAAAGGGGACCAGCCTTGGAATAATACCTCTAAAGAGTCCCCAGACCACCAGCACCAGAAATCCCTGGGATACGTGTTAAAAGGGCACAGTCGTCAGCCCACCACGGGCCACCTGAACCGATCTGGCACGTGCATTTTCAGCCAGCACACCCAGTTTGAGAACCCAGGTCTACCACTCCTTGCTCTCCCAGCATCACGTCCTCTCTTGGCAGCCTGTGGACCTTCTGCCAGGATCACCTCCTTGATCCTGCAGGGCCCAGCCTCCTGGGGGCAGGCACCTGCTAAGAACCCCTCCAGCTGGCCCCAGCAACGCTATCACCACGAGGCTCCCAGCTCAGAACTCGGGCTCCAGGCCGCCTGCCAGGTCTGGAAGTGCCGAGCCGCACCCCGCCTGCTGCTCCTGCCTGGGCCCTGAGAGTGAAGGTTGCAGGGAGTGGGCAGGGCAGGGGCCCAGGCATGCCAGGGCCTGGGTGCCTCCGCCCACTGGGTGTCAGGAATGCACGTCCTCGGGGTGCAGGGAAGGGGGCGGGGCCTCTGCCTGTACCTTACACCTCTGCTCACACCTCACTCTGGCCTGGGGAAGGCATTGCTAGGCAGAAAGGCTGGTGGGGGGCCAGTGTGGCAGCCAGGCCCAGGTAGGCACCCTCTGCGAGGCTCAGGAGGGTGCCTGGTGAGTGGCTGCCTGACCCCTGGACAGCCACCCCTGGGGAGCCTGACAGGTGAGAGAGGGAAGACCTAGGAAAGAAACATCTCAGCCTAGAAGCCTAAGGTCCTGGTTGTAAGGTTTGTTCTGCCCCGAGGGGCCCTTTCCTTTCCCTCCCCGAGCCCTGAGTGCCTCATCTGTAACACAGGACTAGCGGCTGTCCCTATGATCTCCAGGGCTGTTGGGGGGGGGACATGGGTTCTTTCTCTGAAAGGGCTGTCTGACCACAAAGCCATGGTCAACATGAACACCGTCATTCTGATTCCCGAGACATCAGGACCGGCCCTAAGCATAGCCCTAGGTCTCCCTCCGGGAACTGAGGAATTTCTGCTGGCCCAGGTGAGGAAGTCTGAAGCAGAGGGCGAACAGCAGATGACTCTGGTTACTTAGACGGAGCAGAGGATGGGACACGGTAGCGCTTCCAATGCCTAAGGAGAGGAGGCCAGGCAGTCACTAAGGTGGGCATGCTAGAGTCGGTTTATGGTGGGAGCTTCGAGTTGGCTGGAAGTAGAGGCCAGAGGCCTGCTACAAGGACCGTGGAGGGGTGGGTCCAGGCCTCAGTGGGTGAGAGGTGCCCAGGCTGCTTCCCAGGGCGTGCAATGAAATGGGAGTGTTGCTGCTCCCACTGCCCCTGCCCAGGATGTCCGAGGGTGTGGGCTGAGGGACCCCTCCTCTTAGCCTCCTGGGGAACCGAGCAGGCAGAGCTGGGCACAAATGGCAACAGGATCGAAATAAACCCCCTTACCGTCCACAACCCTCCCTGCCCTTGCCTCGTGCCTACTGATGGGCAGCGGGCAGGGCCGGTGCCCTAATCCCAGGCCCACATCCTCCCCAGCGCTTCCCTCCCCAGAGATTCCACAGGGAGCAGCCCCCTCCACCCCCCTAGAGTATTTTTAGCTCCAACTTGGCCTGTTCAGAGGCCCTTTAAGGCCCTCTGGCTCCCAGCCCGGGATCCAATGGATCTACAGCCAGAGGGCTAGGAAGGGATGGGGGAAGATGCGGATGGGATGGTCCAGTTGCCTCCAGTCACAGCCAGGTGTGGGGAGAACCCAGAGGGTGGGAGAAACCTTACAGACATGAAAATTAATATGCAAATGAGGCTGCTTACTGTCGGATCTGATCCAGATCAGAGAATCCAAAAGCTGATCTGTTCTAGACCACCACTGAGCCCAGCCTCCCAGCAGCAGTCAGAAGGAACGAGGCTAGGTGGGAGGCTTTGCCCAGCCCTTGGAGCAAGGAGGAAAGATCAGACCAAACCTCTCCTGGAATCAGGTTGAGCTGCAGGGGGTGGGGAGGTGGGCAGGAAGCCCCTGTGGGAGGTAGGTAGATGGGTAAAATGACCACTTAAGGGCTTTCAAACAGCCAGCCTCTCCTCTGACCCCAGCCAGACAGCCCCTCCTGGCCTCTGGGGGGCCCACTGAGCTCCAGGTTCTGGAAAGGCACTTCATCACCCGGCCCCATCACTCAGTTCAAGGCTAATAAAACAGCCAAGTAGAAAGCAGTAGAAGGGGAAGGGGCTGGGGTACGAGGCCCATGGGAGACAGGACAGCAGACTGGCTCACCCCAAAGAGAAGGCGGCTCCCTGGGGGCACAGGGGTGGGGTGATGCTCAGAGAAACAGCCTGTAAGAGTTAACCTCCCAGACTCTTAACCTCAGGGAGGACTGGTGCAGCTCCAGTTAACCTGGAGAGGCCCAGGGGGTCCAGCACTCCAGCCAATGGGCCCCCGCATGCCTTACTCTTCAGGGATCCCTTCCGCCTCAGGATGGAGCGCAGGTTGGGGAAGGGGCTGCCCCATTTCAGAGCCCGGGGGTGGGGTGCTGGCAGTTCTCAGATGCCTGGATCCCAGCTCTGTGCCAACCCTGCTGCCCAAATTAGACGTCTCCCCAGAGGCTGATCCTGTGGTAGCTGAAACTGCAGCCCTCCCCCTACTTCTCATGCTGCCCACCCAGCCCCCTCTCCCCTCTGGTGACTCAGCCCTAGAGCCAGAGCAACAAGCTGGAGAAAGCGATAGAATGAGAGAGAACAGGAGAAAGGCCTCGGCCGAAGCCTCAGATAAAAAAGAACAAGGCTGTTTTTCTCAGTGCTTCTCCCTCTCCCTCGCTTCTTAGTATTTTTTCCATATTTGATCCCTTAGGGCATTCTTCATGTCATCTAACCTCAATTCCTCCTGCTGCCATGGACACCCTCTTCTTCCTTCGTTTAGCTCTGACCAAGCCCCTTTCTTTTCCTACAAGATGAGGCTTTCCCCTGCCTCCCACCCAATTTAAAGCTCCTTGGCCTGGACTGGTCATTGGAGAGCGTCAGAGGAAAAGGCCACTGTGAATGCAGACCTTCTGCCTGCAGCCACAGCTGCTCTGCGCATTTCCTCGGGAGGTGCCAGGAGGCTAGTCCGCCCAGGGAAACATGTTTTAGGAGAGCACAGCAGGTAATCCTTGTTCCTGCCTCCCTCGCATATGACCTCATCTTCCAGGAGCCCCAGCCACCCCCACTGCAGACTTCCCAGAAACCCTCGTGGCCAGGCCAGGGTGAAAGGGAGAGAGGGCCTCAGAGGTTTCTCCCATAGCCCAAAAGGTGAGGCCAGACCAGGGCACCTGGATTCCTAGGGGCAGGACTAAAGAACAGGTCCTGGGGCACGGGAGTCAGTCAGTAGCTATCTCCCTTTGGAACAGTTCCTCTGCTTCCCAAGGGGTCTTCGTGCATCTCACCGAGAAGCCCAGCGCACCTTCATCCCCTGCCCTACTCATCATCCCTCATGTCAAGAGACAGAGAAACTGTATAGCCTGGGGTGGGGTAAACCTCTGATGTCGTGGGCAGGGAACCCCAGTCTGGAGATGGGGGCGATGGGGAACAAGGAGGCCCACACCTGGGCTTTTAAGCATTTCTGGAACGAGGCCTTCTTTGAGAACATGTTGAAAGCTATGCTCTCCCCTGCTCCTGCCACGGGAACATGCACAGACACAAGTGATTTTCAGGGGTCCCTACACCTCCAGAAAACCTCCTGTGAACCCCAGGCTAAGAGTTTATTCGGGGCCATGAATCCTCGCCCTTTTCCCCAAAGGGACTCTGAGGCTAAGAGGTATCCAACTGCGACCTGAGTTGCCGGTTCCCCTGATCTGTGTGCTCAGGCAGCTGTTCACATCTGCCTTTGCAGCTGGCTGCAGCTAAGCCCAGCTGGGCCGGTTGGCTCTCCCAAAGGTCCACGGAGCAGAATTCAGTGAGACGAGGAGATGAGCCAAGGTCTAGAACCGCCCCTGGGAAAGACTGAGAGTGGCCCAGAAGTCTGTCTAGAACTACCTGCCTCTCTGAGGTTCCTCAGTTCCAGAACCTCTGGGCTCTTATCAGGCCTAATGCCATCTCTAGCTGCCCAGGAAGAAAAAGGAGGAATTCTCTGCTCAGCCGTCTTGGGCGAGGCCCATGGGTAGTGAGGGTACATCCAGGTCCTGGCTTTGGTACAAGAGCCCTCGCATGTGCCTTGGCATATGCAGAGCATTTTATACACATTATTACACTGAAGCCCCACTATCGCCCCATGCAGAAGGTGTGTTGTTCCCCTTGCCCCAGCATGTGAGGAAATTAAGGCTCAGGTATTGGTGACAATTGGCAATGGAACACTGAAGCTTCTTCTCTCTCCACAATGCCAAGTTGCCTCTTATAGGGCAACTGAGGCAGGAAGGAGGGGACAGATTCAGGTCCAACCCCTCTTTGGGGAAAACCAGTCCAGAGAAGAGAACTACCTTGTTCAAGGTCACATAGCAAAATCACCCCCCCCACACACACACACACACCTTCCTCTTGCTTTCTTCACCTTGTCTTAACACTGTGTTGCCTTAGAATGGAACACCTTTTTCTGGAAGGGGGCAGAAAGAGCACTAACGTAGGAACTTGTGTTGATGGTTACTTAGAGCCTCCAAAAGATGGAGGATTGGTCAAGGCCAGACCACGCTTGTGGGGCCAGGCTGGGAAGGGTGTGGTGGCCCTAGCCTCTGCAGGAGCTAGATGGAATTGAGGCCAAGTTCAGGTAGGTAGACTGGGCAGGGCTGGGCCAGCAGGGAAGGAGCCAGGTTTGGACTTTGGGCATTCCAACCTTCCTCAAGTTTCTGTAGGCTCCGGCCAGAGTTGGGAGAGGTTTCAAACACCATTTTTCTGACCAACCGTATCCTCTTGGTCCACGGGGGTCAGACACCAGTTGGGGGCAGCTAGCAGGTCACTCAGCTCAAAGTGATACGGCCTGCTTGACCTGTCCTAACCACCTTCCCTCGAGGGACAGCCTCACCTCCCCCAGCTGTCCTTTTCCCGAACTGCTGATCTCATGAATCTAGGCAGAGAAACATCTGACACCTGGACATACCCCTCTGGGCGTAAGTGTGTGTGATCACAGTGGGGGGCGGGGGACACAAGCAGCTGGATGCCGTCACCTTCCCCTCACTCCCCTATGCCTAGCTCTTCCCCTCTTTCTTGCAGCTGTTGGGGAAGGAGAAGAGAAGAAAGAGAAAAACACCACTTCCCTCTTCAAACTAAACAAACACACTCAGGGTTGAAGATCCAACATGAATCTGTGGAATGCAGGAAAGCTATCTGGTGGGAGGGTGTCACTGCTGGGTTGGAGGGGCAGGAGATGAGCAGGATTTGGGACAGCCCCTGCTCTCTCTTCTATTCCCCTGCCTCCGGGATCAGAGGGAGCCCCTGGACAGCTCCAAACACCCAGACTCATCACCTCACCCTCCAACCACCAAGGGCTGAGAACCCCTCCAGTCTGGCTCTGCAAAGGGTGTGGCTGACGTAGCCGCAGACTAAATGCGAGGTGTAAAGGGAGAGAGCTTCAATGCATGTACCCATAGGTTCTTCCCAGGAAACGGGGGGGGGGGGCACTATGTGTTTATCTTAGTTTCCCCCAGCTCCCGTCCCCAGAGAGAAGAGGTACTCAATTCAGAGAATGGAAGTCGGCTTGGGAAAGCGGGACCCCAGTGCTGCTCTCCAGACGGGGTGAGTCTAGGCAGGTTCTGGCTGGGTCAGCACTTGCCAATGATTACTGCCCCCCCCCTCCGCCCACACCTAATCACTCCACTTCCCGCCAAAGGTCGACAACGGGAGGGCGCTCAGGTCCCCGCCCCTTTAATCCTCGCTCACAGTAGCCCGCGGCCGGAGACTCACCTCCGGATCCGCACCCAGCGCTCGTGCTCTCTCTCTCTCTCTCTCTCGCTCTCTCTCACCCCACCCCCGCCAGCCTCACTCACAGGTAGCGCAGCTTCTGCTCCGTCTGCCGATGGAGGGCGACCGAGTAGCCGAAGAGGCTGCCCGGGTTCCCGGCCTCCTTCACCACCAGGAATCGGGTGTCCAGGTTGAAGGCGAAGGCGAAGTGACCGCCAGGGGCCACCGTCAAGGCGAGCGCGCAGAGCAGCGCCCGCAGGACGCGGGTGGTGCGGCGGGGACTGGAGCCCATGGCTGGGAGCCGGAGCGGAGCCGGGGCGAGAGAGCGTGAGGACGTGGAGCGGGAGTGAGGACCTGTTCACCTGCTCTCGCCACCACTGGAAAACACTCTGGCCCGCCGCGTCGTTAAGCCCCGTAACGCTGATAGTTTCTGGCTCCCAGCCCTGGTCGGTTTCACGTCTGCTCAAGGTCTGCGCTCTCAGATTCCCCTCCGAGATCCGCCGATCTATTCTCCCGCCAGTCCTGCGTTGGGTCACCGCGCCCCCTCCCCGGACACCCTGCCCCACAGCCGTCGCGGCCGCACCCCCTTGGCTGCACTGTCGCCTTCGATCCTGGCTCGGTGGCGGATCTGGCTGGGCAGGCAGACCGGTAGACCGCAAGGAGGGCGAGAGGGAGGGGTGCCCCCCGCTCGCGCCCCGCCTTTCCACGCCCAGCTCCGCACCTCCCCACCTTGCGCGCCCAGCCGCGGCTCCGCTCTCCTTCCGGGGAAAGAGAAAAGGTCCCGGCTCCGCCACCGCCTCTTAAAGGGGCAGCACCGCCCCGCCCTCATCCTCCCCGAAATGGCTCCGCCCTCTCCCCCAAACACCTGTCCAGGGCCCCCAAAGGCTAGGATTTCCCCTCCCCGCCCCTTGCGTCTCCCGAGAAGCGTCGCATTTTTTAGCAAAATGGATTGGACAGGCGGGGCCGGGATTGGTATTTGTCCAGAAGGTTTGCTGCGGCAGCTACTGCTGCTGCAAAGGCCGTTCCAGGAGCGGCCACCTCGGCCCGCCTGGCTGGAGAGCGCGAGCGAACTGAGCTCCGCGCACCGCTGCCTGGAATATCCTCTTGGTCTCTGCAGTGCTGTGAGTCCCTGAGAGGCTGCCGGAGGTCTCTGGGCATTCTTTCTAGCACGCAGCTCTTTCTCTGTTCTCGTCGAGATTTTTTTTTTTTTTCTTTTGCCCACCCGCCCCCATCCACCCTGATCCCAGCTGGGAATGGTCCCTCCACAAAGCCAGACTGATATTTAGCAGTCGTAAGTAACCAAGCATTCTTAGTATTAGCAACAAGACAGCGTTTCCCCCAAAGCACCCCGCTTTCTGGCGTCCCTTGTAAGCCTATCAGTGTGGAAATGAATCCCTTCTCCTCAGAGTGCCCTGCGTGGCCAGGGAGCTGGACCCAGACTGCAGCCATTTCTCAACCACCCCTGCCTCCAGGGACTAGCCCAGCAGAATCCCAAAGCTGCCCTTCTCCCACCAGGGCTCAGACTGAGTGGAGACTAGGTGGGGATGCCAGCACGGACAGGTGTGTAGTGGGTGGTGCCAGTTGGAGTTAGGTGGGCGGGGCCTAAAGGTTATTCGCAGAATAATCAGCTGAAAGGGAACTTGAAACGGTCACTGTGCGGTCTAACTCAGCTGTCCCTTATTGCAACACGAAGACCCATTTCCCCCGAGAGCATTCTGTTCACTACGCTAAAGGAGCTTTCTTATTTTGGTCCAGGAGTTCAGCCCTCCGCGCTCACTCCCTTCAAATTCAGTTTAGTATCCCTATCTCTGAGAGTTTGTAATCATAAGAAAAATGCCGCCCTGGCTGGTGTGGCTCAGTGGATTGAGCACCGGCCCCCAGACTGAAGGGTCTCTGGTTCAATTCCCTGTGAGGACACATGCGTGGGTTGCGGGGCCACGTCCCCAGGGGAGAGGATGAGAGAGGCAACTGACTGAGGTTTCTCTCACGTGTCAATGTTTTCCTCCCTCTCTTCCCCTCTCTCTGAAAATAAATAAATAAATCTTTAAAGAAATACTTTAAAAATCAAAACAGAGAGACACTCGCATGTGGTGTCCTTATGCAGCCGGGACTATGCCAGCTGCTTTACAAATAGGACTGAATCGAATCCTCACAAGCACTGAGTAGGTGTTCCCGCTGCTGTCCGAGAAGCACAGCGAAGGAAGCTCCGGGAGGTTAAGCAACTCGGTGAAGGCCACAGGGCCAGCCCAGGTTGTAATCCCATGTCATCTGACCCTGGAGCTTTTCTCAGGCACTTAAGCTAATAATTAACGTTTTTGTATAATACTCGGGGCTTGTACAATTTGGAGCCCTCTTTAAAGAAAAGAATGAAGAATTAAGAGTCCAAAATTAGATTCAGAGCTCGGGAAGGGCCAGGGCCCAACGTGATGACTCATTTCACACGCAGACTCTTGTTTCATCCTCCCGGCCTCCCTGTGAAGTCAGGGTTATCATCTTCGTGTGATTTACGAGGGAACCTGGATGTCCAAGATCACGAGGCTCATGGGAGGCAGTCAGGACGGGAAACCACTTCCCACAGCTGTGTCTTCAAGAGGCAAACTCCAGGCAGATGTTGATCTGACAGCCAGATATGCCTAAATTAAAGCAGCTGAGATAATAGTGTTCTCAGTTTTGAGGTTCTTCTCTGCCCTTAAGAGAACTTTTGTTCCCAAGCTGTGACCCCCAGAAGCACCCAGCCTTTCTCCATGGTCCACCTGTGGCCAGGCCTCCAGGAGTTAGGAGATATTGAGGGTCAAGGAACAGGAAGCTGACTTGGCTGGAAGTTGAACAATTAATTTGCTCTCCTTCTGGCTGGCTGCTGGGTCCTCCACCTTGTCCCAGGAGAAAGGGAGTCAGCCAGGGCCGGGAGCTCAGGGACCAGGGTGGACACTCAGGGTGGGCAAGGGTCCTGCCTGAAACGGCTTTGAGAGCCCTGGGATGACACCACAGGCTCCATGCCAAACCTTATCTCTTCGGCCATCCCCAACAGGAATGGCCAGCATGTCCGATCCCAGGGCCGGGAGCAGGAAAGGGATGAGGGATGGTTTTTCCACTCCAGGGGAGTGTCCAGGGGGAATGTGGGAGCGGGAGCTGGGGCACCTGGTGTGGGGGCGCGGAGCTGAGGAATGCGGGGGAGCATCGGACAGATCTGAGGGAAGTGGGATGGCGGAGAGAGACTTCAAGACTGGAAAGGCCTCTGGGCTGGGGAGTCCATGCCAAACACCTAAAATGCTCTGGTTTCAGTGGTATCATCCCTCATCTCATCCCTCACCTCATCCCCCGGTGGCTTAATCCTGTCAACTCTTCCCCACGGAGCGGGGACTCACCTAGAAACGTAGACATAGAGAAATAAAGGCACACTAATAAAACGTGTAACGAGGAGTCTCGGTCCAGTTTTTGATGTCTGACTGCTGACGGCTTTTAAGCCGTCACCTCTCCCTCTTCCCCTGTGCCTGGCAAAGCTGATGAGGCCTGGGTGCTGTGCTCTGTCCTTTGGCATCCATGGGAGGTTTGAACCATGCAAGCCCTTCCCTCACGGATGCTCACCCTGACCTCATTCTCTAACCACCATAAAAATCCCGGGCCGATCTCCTTTCTTGGCTCTCTCCAGCCATTTAAGACCTGCGGGAGAGGCCGGCTCTGCTCCCCCACAGACCTCAGTAATGTAAATAAAACTCGTCACACACTCTTGGTATGTATGTGGCATCATCAGTCTTGACATTGAACCAAATCTTGGATGGGGCCTGTCTACCTCTACAGGTGACCATGACAACATGCAACTGTGGATTCTGCTGTGGGGTCAGGGAGGCTTCCTGGAGGAGGAGTATCTGGACAAGGGAGAAGGGAAGGACCAGCAAGAGGGAGCCACAGGAAAGAAGGAAACAGATCTGGGGCCTTGTTGGGGGTGAAGTTTTCCCAGTTGCAACAACGACGTCAAAATCCCACGAAGGCACCTTTGTTTCTTCAGTGTTTGCCGTGTTCACACCAGCCTGCCTCTGCCCGCCTCCCCCATACACCCCATCTCACTCTCCCAGAGCCCCGACCATGCCACTTGCTCACTCAGTTCTCACAGGAAGGCCGGGGTGTGGATGTGATGTACGCAGGCAGTTAGTGAACAGATGGTGGAAGTTCAGTGCCACGGGGTGGGGGGGGGGGGTCGAATGCGGGCTACCTGCTGCCCTCCCACCTTGGGCATGCCTCCTCCATGCCTCGATTTTCTCATCAGTGAAAAAAAAGGGCTAAAAATGTTTTTTCATTATTTCCCTAACGGTATCCTTTGTGTCCCAAGTCCCCTAGTATTTGTTGAACTCAGTGGACCAAATAACTTCTGTTGAAGTAAGACTCAGGTCTCTGTCTCTGACTTGAATTGAAAATGCAAATAACTGAGGAGATAAGGAGGAGCTGTGAAGCTTGAATGGGTTTATCAGATTTCCTCTTTCCAGTGACCCAGATACAGGCCTGAGGTGGGTGGGGCAGGTGCTGCGTGCTGGCCACTTCCCCGCTCAGAACCTGTCAGCTTCAAAGCCTCACTGACAAGCTACTATCTACCAGCACGGAGCTGGGGACCCCCAGCGATGTCAGAGATGAACCAGAGCATGTTCCAGAGGCCGGGGTGTCATCCTGGCCTCGAATTCTGAAAACTCAAATTTAAAGAGGCTAAATCCACATTACATGGTATTTTAGGGCTGATGCTGGTGGGCCAGTGGACAGTGTTAGAAAGAACATTTTGACTACAGCGCAGAGTTAGCATTGCTAAGAGAGAGCCAGCCAGCAGCGAGGGGCTGCTGTAATAACTTGGGCAAGGGATGGAGGGAGAGAGTGTGGGTGAGAGGGCCCCAGGTCAGATTTGACTTGGACTTCAAGTACAGGTGTGGTAGGGCATGTGGAGGATGGGGAGGGAAAGAACAGAGGGCTTCTGGGAGAACATAGGCAGTGACCCCCCAGAGGGACCTGGTGTGCAGGCCCCAAATATCAGTAAATTTCCATGCCAGCCAATAGCTGAGTTGTTCCCATTGTGAATTCATGCGTTCATTGGTTGATTCTTGTGTGCGCCCTCACCAGGGATCGAACCTGCAACCTTGGCATATCGGGGCAATGATCTAATCAACTGAGCTACCAGGCCAGAGCCAGGTCCCGGGCCGATCTCCTTTCTTGGCTTAATTCAGCTTTCGCCAGCCACTTGGCTGGCCACCCTCAGGCTCCTCAGATTCTGAGTGTCCAGAACAGGCTCAGCATCTCGGCCTCGTCCCACAGCCTCCTCTCCAACCGCGGAACTTCGTCTGCAGCAGGATTCCACCGATGCACCAGGGCCAGTCATGTCACATGATCTTTTCACATGCTGGTCCCTCTGCCTGGAGTGCCCTTCACCCCCCTGTGTACTTGGAAAATATCCACTTGTCCTTTGAAAACTTTCGTGAGTTTTCATATTCCTCCCGCACTCCTGACCCCCACATCACCGGCACTCCCCCACCCCGCTGCTGACACAGAGTGCCTCTGGAAGATTCCAGGCCTTGCACTGACTTGTAACCTGGGCTTTTAGCGTGATTATAGACCGGCAGGGCTGTGACCTTGGACAAGTCCCTTCACCTCTCTTAGCCTCAGTTTCCTCACTGTAAATTGGACCTAAAGATGGCAGACTACAGGTATGTTGAGAAAGAGAACTAGGACCCGGTAGTTACACTCAGTGTTGATTACACCTGTATTTCCGGTAGCTGTGACG